GGATGGGGCGCGCAAGCGGCCAGATGGGGCGGGGCGCGGGCGGCAGTGGAGTCCTGCGGCTGGGTGGGATATAGGGCAATGAGCGTTGAGCAGTGTGCGATGAGCAATGAGCAATGAGCAGTGAGCAGCCCCTCCCGAAACAAAGTGAAGCGCAGGACGGGGTCCGGTGGATGGGAGGCAAGGAAGCGCGGGGGGGTTGCCACGTGCGCTACCGCCGCCGCCGCAGGCAGCACCCCTGCGGCGGCGGCAGCGGCAGCAAGCCGTGGACCCAAACGCCGTGCCGCCGCCGCCGCAGGCAGCACCCCTGCGACGGCGGCGGCAGCAAGCCGTGGACCGAAACGCCGTGCCGCCGAGTCCCGTGGCTGTGGCCGTGGGCTTCTGGCAGGAAACTACGGCCGCAGCTCGGCAGCACGGGGGCGTCGCAGCGTGCCGCCGCCGCCGCGCTGCCCCCCGGGCACGGCGGCGCCGGCAGCAAGCTTGGGCCCAAACGCCGTGCCGCCGAGTCCCGTGGCTGCGGCCGTAGACCGTGGGCCGGAAACTGCGGCCGCAGCTCGGCGGCACGCGGTTCTGTTCAAGTCGCCAAGCGTGCAGCAGCGCCGAACCACGCTTCCCGGCCTCGGCGCATGCCTTCAGGGGCCCCCTATCGCTGGGCACACCCCTCCAACACCGAACATGCGCCCGGGGGGGAGGGCGGCCCGGGCTGCCCAGGCCAAAGTGGGCCGCCCTCGAGCAAGAGGCGGCCGGTCTGTGTGCTGAATGAATGTGCCGCCATCCAGCACTCCCCACCACTGCCTGCCTGCCTGCCTGCCAGCCCGTCTTTGCTGCCCTGTACCAACCCTGCAGGTCTCGCAACCACACATCGCAATGGGCAGAGGCGCTGCGATCGTGGCGCTCGTGCTGCTGTGCGCAGGCGGCCCGCTGCCGGCGTCTGCCGACGACTGCCCCTGGTGGAAACCGGCATTGGCCTGCAACTGCTGCTATCCGTGGATTGCTGAATATACTGCCTGGAAAGATTCGAAGCCCATCGTCCAATATGTTCCCATCTGCTCTGACTGCTCCTGGCCGGTAAGCAACGGCATTTTGCGCCTAGGTTGCCCGTGCGCCGTCAAACACAGGAGCTCTCGCTGATTCCGTGCGCCCACTTCCACTGCCTGCAGGATGGAGATGCGGCCGGGAAGTGGTGTCCTGCTTCTAGGGATGGCAAATGTAACATCTTTGGTGAGCACGCGCAGGATGGCACCTGCACGCATGTCCGGCAGGCATGCAGCGCCTGCCGCAGTGGGCGCTGCCTGTTCCCGTGGCCCCACGCGCGCCGCTGCGTGGCCCTCGGCGCAGGCTGCAACTGCGACGGCGGCTGCCGCTCTGATCCCGACCCGGAGAACCGGTGCTCGCCGCCGCTGACGCTTTACTTCCCCTACGACCCCGATAAGTATTTATATGAGCTCACCAAGTGGGGCCCCACCTCGTCCAACAAGCCGCGCGCGTGCGGGGTGGCGCGCCCCGGGCGCCGCTGGCCCGGCAAGCCCGACGCCGGCACCAAGAAGATCAAGACCTTCAAGGGCTGCTGCGACCTGTGCAAGCGCCTGCCAAGGTGCAAGCGCTTCCAGCTGGGCCCCAAGGGCTGCGCCCTGTTTGCCTCCAAGTCCTCTGGCCCCCCCAAGCCGGCCAAGGGGTACATCGCCGGCAACGGTGAGGAGCGTTCCAGCGCCAGGGCTGCTGCACGGCTGCTGTTTGGGGGCTGGTGGCACGGCTTGCATGGCCAGGTGGCGTGAAACCAAGCTGAAGAGGCAAGCCGGCGGCTGCAGATCAATCCTCCTGCCTGTGCATGTTGTCTGCAGTCCCCTCGTGAGCAACCCTCTCGACCCCAGATGCAACCAAGCCCACCGATCGAAGAGAAGATTGCTGCCATCCTGCGGCACAGCCTTACATGCAGCTGGCCTGCATGACGACCCTTGTTCCTGGTTCATAGCTCGTATCTTGGGTTTCTGCTGCTCCGTTTGATAACTATTTCAACTGAGGATATGCAACTTTAAGAACAAACAAATGAACACCAAATCAAGCATCACTGCAGGGCTGCCTGGAGCAGCCGCAGCACCCGCGTGGGACTCGGCTTCACGCCAGGCGCCAGCTCCAGATCCAGCCTGCCCGCAGCCACATACAGCCGCCATCCGCCGCCAGCGGCCCCCAGCAGCTTCTCCAGCTCAACGGCCAGGCACTGGTAGCGCTGGCTGCTGGCCAGTAGCGGTGCCGCCTGAATGGTCACCTTCCCGCTGCCCACCTTGACTGGCGGCATGGTGTCGCCACATGCCACCTCTGCGCTGCCTGCCGGCGCCTGTGCTCGCAGCGCGTGCATCACCAGCCCCTGGCAGGCCACCAGCAGTGTCTCGATGCTGCTGCTGGGTGCTGCAGCGGGCGGTGGCCGGGTGTACAGCTCTGCCAAGCTGCAGTCGTCCCCAGCAAACTGCAGCACGGGCTCCCAGCCAGCAGACTGCAGGGCGAAGAAGCAGCTATCCAGCTGATCCTCAGCCTCCGAAGCCTGGTTCACAGCCACCACACAGCCGCCAGCCGTGCTGTCCCAGCGAACGCTGACGGCCGCTGCCGCCCTGCTGCTGGTAGCGCCAGCAGCTGGCAAACCCGCCTGCACTGGCAAAGCAAAGGCGACGCCACGAGGTGGCGATGGCCTGAGCTGTGCTGCCGCCGCGGGTGCTACTGCTGCTTCTGCTGTTGTTGCTACAGCAGCGGCGGCTGGAGCGGCAGCAGGTGTGCCTTCAGCCACTGCTGCCGCCAGGGCTGGCGGTGCAGGCAAGGCGGTGGCGCGGGGAGGCGGCGACGGCCTGAGCCGTGCTGCTGCAGTGGCAGGGGCTGGTGCTGCTGGTGCTGCGCGAGAGCCTGCTGTCACTGTCAGCGCAGGGGCACTTGCAACCTCGGGCTCAACCTGACGCTTGCCCTGTTGCTGGCGCTGAGGTTGGGGCACAGCCTCGCGCTGTCCACCTCTGCAGGTATGCGAACGGCGCAGCCATCAGTGGCTGTGAGCAGCAGGAGGGTAGTAATGGTGACTTGCTGGACAACCGCAGAGGGCCTGCAAGCTGATGCAGCCGCCTGCCTTCCTCACCTGCTCCCCCTGCTCTTCGCTGCGGAAGGGCCGCTGCTGGGACCCTGTAGCCGGCGCTTGCTGGAAGGGCCAGGGTCTGCATTCGTTGCGCCCTGCCTGGTGCCTGCCAGCAAGTCTGCCAGGGCGCCTCGCTTCCGCCGGTTTGCACACTCCAACGGCGTGCACCCGTGGCGGTCCACCAGACTGCAGCCAGCCAAGGGATGGGCGCACAGAAAGCACTGAATGCCCGAGCTGCAGCACTTTGGCATCTAGTTAAGGACGCCACCCCCCACCAGCTGCACCCGTCTCACCTGGCATCTGCCCCATACTCTCGCAACAGGTGCACCACCTCCCGCATGCCGTTCCTTGCCGCAATGTGGAGCGCCGCCTCGCCCTGGTGGTTCTGCTGGTTGACTAGGGAAGCAGCTGCATTCGCGCCCCCTGATGCCACCGCTGCCATCAGCAGGCACTCTGTTAACTCGAAAGCAATGGTCTCTTGCTCCACTTTCTGTGAATCCTTTCTGGAGTAAAACGCGGTCGCATAATGCAGTGCCGTGTCGCCGTCGCCATCTGTCACACGACAGTCAGCCCCGTGGCTTAACAGAAGGACGGCGGCCTGCTTGTCCCCCTGCAGCCAGGGTGGTCAGGCAATGGGCCGCCGGGGAGGTGAGCAGGGTTCAGCAAAGTACCGCTAACAGCATCCCCAACTGTTGTGCGCTGGCGATGCCAAGGCAACAGAGCGTTCACAAAGTCAGCAGGTGTAGCCCAGTGCACGCTGCATACCCTATACACCGCTAGGTGCAGCGGCGTGGCCCCTTCCTCGTCTTGCACGTTGACCAGGGCTCCACATTCCACCAGCAACTGCTCCAAGATGGCGGTGTTGCCGCGTGCGTAATCGGCGGCCCAGTGCAGCGGACGCTTCTGCCGGTTGTCCATTGCGTTGATGTCCGCTCTCTGGTCCTCGTGCAGCACACTCCGTGCAGCTCAGCACTTTCGATAGGTTACACAGAAGTCGACAGGTTGCACAGAAACATACAATCATCCAGTCTACAAAGCCACGCGGCATGCCTAGTGCGCCTGCTGCTCCGCCGCGCTCGGCACCGCCACCAGCTGCAGCGCGGCGGCCGGGGCCCCGCTGGTGGTGCTGTCGTCCACCACCGCCGCAGGCAGCGGGCGCTGCTGCTGCGCGCCGTAGGCCGGCGGCGGCGGCGGCGGCGGCAGGTCCCGCTGCAGCGCCGCGGACAGCTGCTTGGCAGCTGCCACCTCCTCCTCCACGGCAGCCCACTCCTCCCTAGGCAGTGTGTCCAGGCGCACCAGCAGCCCCTCCAGCGCGCAGCGGAAGCCGCCATCCTGCAGCAGGCAGCGGGCGGCACGGCATTGCGGCGTCAGCGGGCCAAGCTCAGCGCCTGGTTGGGGCGCTGGCTCACCTGCACGGCCAACGGCCAGCACACTCGGCCTGGCAGGGTTGTGTGGCGACAGCGGCCCCCAGGCAACTACTGGCACCCGCTCACGTCGCCTAACACACACACACACGCACACACACACACATACACACACCTGCTGCATGCCCCGCAGGCAGTCGGTGTCTGCCGCCAGCTGCTGCGCCGCCGCCAGTGCTGCCTCCCTCACCGTATCGTCCTCACTCTCCAGCACGCCGCTGCACGAGGGCAGGGGCAGGGAGGGCAGCGGCGCATGGCACACGAACCAGAAGCACCGAGAGCGGCTTGCGTGTGCAAGCAACGCGCCGCACAGCGCAAGCAGGCAGGAGTATGCGTCAACCCCTTGCAGCACACCCCAGCGCAGCGCCGCCGGTGGGCCATGCACCTTAGCGCCCGCCATACACCCCAACCACCCACCTCAGCGCGGGCAGCAGACCGGCATCCAGGGCGGTACGACGGCCGGTGGGCACCACCCGCAGCATGTACTGCAGCACTTGCAGGCACTTGCTGCACCGCACAGGGGCAGCGCGGCGCGGGTGAGCAGCGGCGGCCACGGGGCGCCGGCTGCCGGGCAGGAGCACTCGAGCTGTCATCCGGCACGGCAACGCCATACAACGACATACAGGCAGCGGTTTTGGGCATGGTGCACCATGCAAGCGCCCCGGCGGCGCCGCGCTCACCGCTGCAGCCGCGGCTCGGGCTGCGCCAGCAGGCCAACCACCTCGCCCAGCCCGCCGTGCTGGCGCAGCCAGATGAGGGCGGCCGGGTAGCCGCGCACCATGCAGCTGCAGGACATGATGGAGGGAGAGGGGGCGGCGGGGCATGGGTTGAGTGCACACAGCTGGCTGGGGGCCCTGCGCCGGCCACACGCATGCCCCGGCTGCACCGCCGCCCAGTTCCATCGGCACTGGCCCAGCCACCCAGCGGCGGGGAGGCTAAAACCGGGTACCGCAGGGGGCACCGCAAGGGGTAGCGCAGGAAGTACCACACCCCCGTACCGCCCCGTACCTGATGGCCAGCAGCGCCTTGGTCTGTACCGTGGGGTGCGCGTCGTGCAGCAGCGGCAGCAGGCGCGGCATGATGCCGCCCTCCGCAAACGACGCCTGCACCGGCGGGTTGTTCTGCACGCAGGTGGCCGCCACCTCGGCGGCGCGCCAGCGCAGCGAGGCGTGCGGGCTGGACAGCAGGCCCAGCAGCGTGGGCAGGCCGCCGATGGTGTGCAGGTCTGCATGGGTAGCACGGGGGCGGGCAGGCGGGCAGGGCAGGGCAGGGCGAGGGAAACTCAGCTGCTGCTAGCTTGCCCGCGTATCAAGCGGCTGCCGGCCCAGCCTGCCTGGCCGCGCCCCGCCCCTCGCCCCGCCCCGCGCCCACGCCTCACCCCTGGCCAGGTCGATGCTCTCCACAATGTCCTGCAGCTCATCCAGCATCCGCTCCTGCTGCTCCAGGCTGGCGGCGGCATCCTCGGCGCCGGGGCCACCGCCGCCGGGCGCCGCGGCGCCGCCGCTGCTGCTGTCCAGGCTCTGCTTGATGTCTTCCATCCGCTTGCTGAGGTCGATCATCGCCGACTTGAGCGCTCCCTCCAGCCAGGCCCTGTCTTCTTGGGACATGGAGCGCGCCTCGCTGGTGCCGTCCCCCTGGTGCGCCATACTCCACTCAAACAGGCCTGCGGCAGGGCAGGGGAGTTGTTGGCACCGGCGGCAGGCGCGCAGGGGGACAGGGAGGCGAAGGGATGCACCCACCCTTCCAGACTGTGCTCTCGGTGGCCATGTTGACTGGCTGCTGCTGGGGAGGTGCTCAGGCGGCTGTGGCAGCGGATCGAAGATTGATGAAAGGTGGGAGAGAGGCCCTTGAGGCGGTGCCAGAATGGGCCATAATCCGCTCCCACCTCACGCCACGGTGGCGGCCGCTCGACACCCACCTGCATCCGATGCATGTGAATGACCTGTTGCATCCGGAATGGGAGCACCGCAGCTGATCTATGCGATCCATGCAGCGCCCCAGCACCGTTTTCCTCGACACCCCGAGTGCCCGGAGAGGGTGACGGCCATCCAGGCGGCCCTGGAGCAGCTTGGGGCCCTGCAGCGCGCCCTGGCCGACGGGCAGGTCAGTCGGTCAGACCAGCGGGCGCCGCCCACCGCCGCCGCCCCCGCCCTGCGCCTGCTCGCCGCTTACCCTGCTGTCGCCCCAGCTGGCTCTAGCCACAACCCCTGCCTCTCCTCCACGGATAATCCCTGGCCCTGCAGGCGATGCAGCTGGACGCGCCGCCGCTGCTGGAGCTGCCAGCGGGCCTGCTGGCTGCGGTCCATACCGCCGAGCACGTGGACAGCTTGCGGCAGACGTCCGCCAGCATCAGCGGCCCCACCGCCGTAAGGGACCCAGATGACCCCGGTGGGTGTGGCTGTGGTGGGCGGATGGGTGGCTGGGTGGCTGGGATCAGTCGCTGCGCTCTGCTCCTGTGCTCGGCCAGCAAATACACAGCACAGCCTACCCGCAGCAAGGTTCAACTTCCGCCTCCTCGCACGCCGCCCCCTGCTCCTGCAGACGGGCCCACCTTTGCCACCCCCAGCAGCTACGCAGACGCGCTGCGGGCAGCCTGCACCGCGGTGGCGCTGGTGGATGCGGTGGTGGCGGGCAGCAGGGGCAGCAGCGGCACTGGAGACGGCAGCGGGGGCAGCAGCGGCGGCGGGGGCAGCGAGGCTGGCGGCGGGCAAGGCAGCAGTGGAAGAGGCAGGGAGCATGCTGCCGCGACCTGCGGCTTCAGCATCTGCCGCCCGCCGGGCCACCACGCCACCCCCGGAGACCAGATGGGCTTCTGCCTGCTGAACAACGCCGCGCTGGCGGCGCGGCACGCGCAGCGCGCCCACGGCCTGCACAAGGCGAGCGCCTGCATCTGCATGCAGCGGCGCGTGCGGCGCGGCACGGCCCCAGGCAGCCCAGCTGCACGCGGGCTGCGGCGCGCCCCGCCGCCCGCCTCGCTGCCTCGGGCCGCTGCCGGTGGCTGCTGCCGTCCGCTGCCGATGCATTGTTCTGCTGGTGATTCTTGTGATTTTTATCGCTGCCCTATCGGTTCAGGTGCTGGTCCTGGATTGGGATGTGCACCACGGCAACGGCACCCAGGACTGCTTCTGGGCTGACCCCTCGGTGCTGCTGCTGGATCTGCACCAGGAAGGGGTGTGGCCCGGGTCGGGGGCGGCGGAGGAGGCGGAGGCAGGTGAGAGGGCGAGGGGAAGCGGGGTGTCCTATGGACGGCCGGCGTGGGGGTGAGGGGTGGGGGTCAAGGCGTGGCGGTGGGGCCGTGCAGGGCGAGGCTGGGTGGCTGTTGATGTCGAGAGAGGCTCCAGCCTTCCTGGCTCTGCCGCTGGGCGGGGGAAGCAGATAAGTATGATGCAGATGCATATAGATGGCAAAGCTGGCAGCGCGCCCCTCTGGCTGCAGGCCCCGGCGCAGGCGCCACCATCAACGTGCCGCTGCCGTGGCACAGCGGCCACGCCGCGGCGCAGCTGGCGTTTGAACAAGTGGTGGCGCCCGCGGCCAGCCGCTTCCGGCCAGACCTCATCATCGTCAGCGCAGGCGGGTGGGCAGCCTGAGGGTGCTGCCTCCTGCCTGCGCCTGGCTGGCGTGCCGATGGCGCCGCCGCGTGCTGCCTGCTGCCAGGTGTCGAGGCGGCGAGGGCGGTGGCTCCGCATGACCACACCACCACGGTACATGCACACATAATTGCTGACACAAACACACACACACACACACACCTGCATGCATGCATGCACACCGTCACCCCACCCACCCACCCACCCACCCACCCCAC